AGGAAATCTGATCCTGAAACATGGAACAGGGAAGGTGAACCTGAAATATGGAATAGGGAAGATGAACCTGAAGACTGGAATTGGAATAGGGATCCTGAAGACTGGAATAGGGAACCTGAAGACTGGAATTGGAATAGGGATCCTGAAGACTGGAATAGGGAATCTGAAAAGTGGAACATGGAACAGGGAACGTGAACCTGAAATATGGAACAGGGAATCTGAAGAGTGGAACATGGGACAGGGAATGTGAACCTGAAATAGGAAATCTGAAGATTGGAACAGGGAATGTGAACCTGAAGACTGGACAGGGAATCTGGACCGGGCTTTTTGGAGCAGCTGCTTTCACAGGGGAGAGCTCCACACAATTCCTGCTCCATAAAACCCAGCAGGAGCACCGGCAGGGATCCCAGCTCGGGGATTCAGCTGCTCCTGCTCCTCCCCGAGCCCCGGGCAGGGGAAGGAGCCCGGCCCCACTCACTGATCTCCTCCTCGATGGCGTGCACCAGGTGGATGTCGTACTGCGTCACCAGCGTCAGGGCCAGGCCCTTCCGCCCTGGAAAGGGGGAAAACAGGGATTGGGCCGTGCTGGCAGGCAGAGAGGGATGGATCCCAACCCCTCCATCCCCAGCAGCCACGCTGGCTGCTGCGGGAGCTCCTCTGGCTCTGAAAACCCCATTAACGATCCCATTAACGATCCCGTTAACGATCCCGTTCAGACCAGATCCGCCCTCAGGCATCCCAGGGCAGGATCCCAGAGATCCCAGAGATCCCAGGGATGGGGAGGGTGCTGCTGGGACACCGGGGGCCCCTCCAGGGGCTGTCACCCCTCAGGGCTCACCCGCGCGCGCCGTCCGCCCCACACGGTGGATGTAGATCCTGGGCAGCCCCGGGGTGTTGTGGTTGATGACGACCTGCACTGCAGGGATGTCCAAACCTCTGCCATGGGGGGGAAAAACAGCTGAAATGTCATAGAATTACAAAATGCCAGCACGGTTTGGGGTGGGAGGGACCTTAAAACACGTTTAGTGCTTGCCTCGGGTAAGGGCACTTCCACTATGCCAGGGATCTGTTTAATTCCTGCTTTCCCTAAAAGCCCCCCAAGTTCTTAGGGATAAAGTGGCTTGTTGGAGGATTTCTTGGCTGATTGGAGGGTAAATTCCTTCCTCACAGAGTTCAGCAATTCCCCAATTCCTTCCTCAGAGTTCATTTCCCCAATTCCTTCCCTCAGAGCTCAGCAATTCCCTGTCCCCTCAGAGCTCAGCAATTCCCTGTCCCCTCAGAGCTCAGCACTTCCCCAATTCCTTTCTAAGAGCTCAGCAATTCCCCAATTCCTCAGAGCTCAACAATTCCCCAATTCCTCAGAGCTCAACAATTCCCCAACTCCTTCCTCAGAGCTCAGCAATTCCCCAATTCCTCAGAGCTCAGCAATTCCCCAATTTCTCAGAGCTCAACAATTCCCCAATTCCTCAGAGCTCAACAATTCCCCAATTCCTTCCTCAGAGCTCAGCAATTCCAATCCCAATTTCTCCCTCAGAGCTGAACAATTCCAATTCCTCAGAGCTCAACAATTCCCCAATTTCTCCCTCAGAGCTCAACAATTCCAATTCCTCAGAGCTCAGCACTTCCCTGTCCCCCTGGAGCTGCTCCCAGCCCCAGGAGCCCCTCAGGAACCTCCAAGCCCTCCCTGGGCAGAGCCTCAGCACCCAAATCCCAGCTCAGACAGCCTGGGACGAGCCTGTCCCACCCAAATCTGGGGGATTTTAGGCTCTGCTCCTGCTGAGCTCAGCCTAAACTGGTTCTGGGAACAAACCCAGGCGTGAGAGCTTTGGTTTCACCTGGCAGCCACGTCGGTGGCGATGAGGATCTTGAAGATGCTGGACTTGAACTTGGCCAAAGCTGCAAATCTCTGTTTCTGGGAGGGGAAAATTCCAGGTGAGGGCTGTGGGATGCAGCTGGGAGCAGCCCCTGGCAGGGCCCTGCACCCCTCACCTGCTTCATCATGGAGTGCAGAGCCACAGAAGGGAAGCTGAATTTCCTCAGCATCATGTTCAGCACCTGGCAGTCCCTGGAAGGGAGGAAAAAACCCAGGAAAATCCTCAGGATGCACCGAGGGAATGGATCAGGACACAGCTGGGACAGGCAGGGACTGTCCAACCGTGCCAGGGTGCTCCAGCGTGGCCTGGGACAATTCCAGGGGTGGGAAAACTGGGACAAGTGCAGGGACACCTCCTGTTTCTGTCTTTAATTCCTCAAATCCTCACTTTTCACCTCATTCATGACATCTCCCACAACCCCAGGGTGCTCCAGAATGGCCTGGGACAATTCCTGGGGTGAGACAGGCAGGGACACTCCCCATTTCTGTCTTTAATTCCCAAAATCCTTATTTTTCTCCTCATTCATGACACCTCTCATTATCCCAGGGTGCTCCATCGTGGCCTGGGACAATTCCTGGAGTGGAAAAACTGGGACAATTGCAGGGACACCTCCCATTTCTGTGCGTAATTCCCAAAATCCTCATTTTTCCGATCCTTTATGACACCTCCCACAACCCCAGCATGCTCCACCATGGCCTGGGACAATTCCTGGAGTGGGAGAACTGGGACAATTGCAGGGACACCTCCCATTTCTGCATTTAATTCCCAAATTTTCCCCTCCTTCATGACACCTCCCACAACCCCAGCGTGGCCTGGGCCAATTCCAGGGGTGGGAAAACTGTGCCAATTCCAGGGAGGAGGAGGAGGAGGCCCCTCACTTGCAGGTTTTGGTGAAGATGATGATGGCCCAGTCCTCGTGCTGGTCCTGGAAGCTCTGCACCAGGTGCACCAGGTAGGCGTCCTTGAGTGCCTCAGGCACCAGCAGGTACCGCTGCTCCAGCCCCTCCAC